ATTTTCCCTCACCTTTGTGCGAGGCCCCTGCCCGCCCCCCCCCACCACATGTGGTGCCTCCGGCATCAGCTGCTTCGGTAGGACAGACAGCGTAGGGAGCATCTCGGGGGCGGGGTGGGGTGGGGGGGGAGGACAGCCTGCTAGGGGTTCGGAGCTGGCCGACCACTGGCTTCTCTCCCTCGTGGAAGGCTGGTGGCTTTGGGGCATGCGTGCATGAAAGGGGGTGGCTAGTGTACCTTGAGTTTTAACACCTCTCGAGTTCTGTGTCATCGTGCCTCTTGATAGCACAAAATCACTCTCGGATGTTGTGAATGAACCCAGTACCGTTGAACCGTACACTTAAAAACGGTTAAAACGGTGAGTTTACGTCAAGCGTCTTTTACCGCCGTACAGATTATTTTTCGATTGAGAGGGCCGCTTCAGGGAGAGGCACACGCCCCTCGTGTGGGCGCCGAGGTTCCCGGCCACGAGCTCTGCTTCTCTCCCCTTTTAAACTCCCTCCGTGCGGACTCAGAGGGTGACAGTCAATCCGTGTGTTAAGTATCAGTAAGGCTTTTTTCCCCTTATTTCCAGATGAAAGGCTCAAGAGAGGTCTAGAAGGGTGCGCTCGGCGTCCCCTGGGAGGCTTACCTCTGCCTCTGAGGCTGCCCATTAGGGAGAAGAAAGCAGGTGCTTTCACGGGGGTCCTTGCCAAGAAGCTGGACATCCTTTTTTTTGAGTTTGGCCAGGTCGAGGCTGCTGGCTGTGGGGCAGGGCAGGGTGACACGTGGGGCAGGCCTAAGAACAGTGGGGAGACTGAGCTAGGTGGCCCTGTCCTCTGAGCCTGTCTCCCACGATGGAGCATTGAGATCTCTGGGTAGGGCCAGCGAGAAGCCTCTGAGAGCTCCGCATGGGTGACAGTCAGGTGTTGACCCTCGTAGCTGGTGGCTGATATTCCTAAGCGCCTCTGACAGTGTCCCATGCAGCACTGTGCGCTCCTGGGAAACGGGACGATGCTGTTCCCATAATCTCATCCGTCTGCTTGGTGCTCCGAAGGTGGAATGTCACCCGTACCTCAACCAGAGCAAGCTGCTGAACTTCTGCAAGTCCAAGGACATCGTCCTGGTCGCCTTTGGCGCCCTGGGCTTCGACATCGAGAAGGAGTGGTAATGGGCTCTGTGAGGTCACTCTCACCGTCCATGTGGTACCCACGGGGGTCTTTCCTTAGCTGTCCAGGGGGGCGTGAGAACAGGCACTAGGAATAGTTCATCTTTGTCAGCCCTTCCCCAGCCTGCATCGTAGACACTCAACGAAACATTACCGAATCGTAATATTACTGATTAAAATGCTCGTGGCACCAGAAGCTTTCGCTCCGACGGGTGACAAAGAAAGCCGGAGCCGTGGTCGACACTCGACAGCTGAGTGACGTGAGACAAGTAACTGCTTTCGAACATTTTAGTTCTTTTCTCTCTTCAGGAGGAAGAGAGACACGCAAGCTTTTAGCATTGATGGCAAAGCTGAGAGCTGATTGAAAGCGTTTTTCAGAAGAGCAAATTCTTGTAACGTAGCTGGTTCCTGAGTATGACGGGAGTTATTATTGGGTCTTCGTTTAGACGGCAACTTTGTCGTCTTATTCAGTCTTTTACTGAATTTCTCAGAAATGTTTCAGACGGAAGCGGTCCCCGAGTTTCCCCTTCTGCCTTTTTCTTGCCCTTTGCATTTACCAAAAGAAGCAAAACCAGACCTTGAGACAGCCGGAGGGTAATAAGGAAGATTCTAGAGAATTAGCACTCCCCACCCCCAGCCTGGGCCGGCGGCCCCCACTAGAATGGACGTGCAGCCTCAGACACATCTCCGCCCCCCTCCCAGGGTAATGAAGAACTTCCCGGTTCTCCTGCGGGACCCCGTAATCAAGGCCATCGCCGACAAGCACGGGCGGACCCCGGCCCAGGTGGCGCTGCGGTACCAGCTGCAGCGGGGGCTGGTGGTCTTGGCCAAGAGCTTCAACGAGAAGAGAATGCGGGAGAATCTCCAGGTGCACAGTAGGGCCGTGGGCAGCAGGGGTTGGCAGGGGCCCGCGCGTCCCCTGGGGCGGGCCGTTGGTGTGTCGGGGGCAAAGCGCGTCCCCTTGCACGCTCTGTGCACGCGGAGCGCTGTGTTGAACTCGTCCGCCCTCCCCCTGCTGCAGGGGAGGGGGCGGTGGGGTGGAAAGAGCAGCAAAACAGGGTCCGGCTGAGGTCTCGGGGGCCCTGGTAAGTCATCCCTCGATTCCTTCAGCTGCAAAATGAAGGACTCGGATGAGAGGTAGGCTCAGCTGTTCCTAGGGTTCCTTAGCCACAGCCACCGACCGCGGAATCGCAGCCTCCGCGGTCTGAACGCACAGACTCCCAGGACGTTTGCCTGGGAGGGACCCCCGGGGTCCCGCCCGCCGTCTCGAGAAGCCGCATAAAGCCTCACGCCCATCTGCCCGTCCGTGTCTGGCAGGTGAGACATCGATCTTCTCTCGTTTCTGACAGGTTTTTGATTTCCAGTTGACAGCAGAGGATATGGAAACTCTTGACAGCCTCGATAGGAACGTTCGCTATTATCAGCAAACAGAGTGAGTGAGGGGCTTGTCCCTCTGCAGCCGCGCGGGTGGGGGCGGGAGGAGCTTTGGAACTGCTTTATGGAGTCGAGGAGACTCCCCTGAAAGATAATACTGGTGAACAAATTGCAATTAGATCGCTCTCTGACCTAGAGCTCATTTTTCTTTTTCTTTTCACATCTCATAAGTTCATTGTGTATGACTTTTTTTCTTCAGAAAGAAAAAGAGGTTAAAATATTTAAACCAATGAATTATTTTTTAGATACTGCTGCCCTCCCTGCTTTAATTTTCTGAGGCCTAAGTCTGGACTAGAGATAGGCCTCGCGCGCTCAGCCCCGCCTGGATGGCTGAGAAGCATCTCGAACACCTCGCCAGCCACGGTGTCTGTAGCCCCCCAAGGAGGCTCACAGTAGCCCCGGGTCCTAGACACTTTGTTCTCCTGGCCTCTGTGCTTTGGCCAGCGGGTTACACAGTAAACCCAGTCGTGGACTTTGCCTCCTGATAGCTGTTCCTCACGTGACCTAGGGGCTGCTTCCCGCCACGTCTCGCCTCCATGTCCTACCGCTGTCCCCTCTGACTCCAGCGCAGCCCCAAGGCTGCCCGCTGTCCCTCGCGAAGCCAGGCTCTCTGCTCCCGTCGTCGTCATCGTCACACCATCTGGAAATGCCCAGCGCTGCCTTTCCCTCGGCCTTGACTCATTTTCCTCTTGGTTCATATTCCTAATGAACACGCCATAGAGCTCACTGGCCTTTGGTGTATTTTCCATTTACTACAGAATGTTCGATTTCTAGGGCAGGGTTTTAAAAAAGTGACTCTTTCCTTGAGTAATCAATGAATATTGGTTGAATGAATAACAAAACGGTAGCTGGGAAGAAAGGAGAGAGAGTAGAGGAGCAGGTAGTGATCCTTAATCATTAATATCAGTAATCTTACTTAATAATAATCATTCGGCAAGCTAGCATTTTCTATCTCAAAAATGATTCTGTTGGAGTTTACGCTCCTTGCCAAAAAAGGATCTGTTGGAGTGACTTATATTATAATCACTTATCCATCTCCGGGTCTAATATATAATGTTTCATTCAGTAGAGGCATAGATAAATGATTTCTGAGTGCCTGAAAACATTCAATAGCGGTGACGTTTTTATCACCTTCCTCATCATCACCGTGAGATATTTGTTAACTTTATATATTAAACCAGGTTGGCATTGGCATTTAAAAGAGGCAGAATTCATTTCTGCCCCGTTGGGAGTTTAAAAGACCAACAGAAATAGTGTATCTCCGTAAGCTGCAAAATTAGACTATATCGGTTTATTTTCATGTCGGTGCCCAAGTGCTTGTAAGCGCATCTAGTTTTTACAATGTATTACAGTAAAAACGCCACAGTAACAGGTTCAGTTTGTACTAAGAGAAAATTACATTAATTTTCATACTTAAGTCACTTTAAAAGAAACCCTTGACCCAGCCCAGAAACAGTCACTTGACTGAGACCCCCTCTCTTTCAGCTTCTGCGATGATCCGAATTATCCGTTTTTTGATGAATATTAACGACAGCATCTGTGGGCGCTCCCGTTGTTTATTTCGGTTGATTATTGGAGAACATCGGGAGGATGAGAAGGTATTTGGCTTACTCCATGCCCAGTTGGTCGCAGTACGGCTGGAGTCCCAGGATCAAGAAATAAAAGATTCTAAACCCAGTCTTTTCCCCACAAAGTAAATAAAGATATATTCAATCAACCCCACCGAGCGCTGCTTTGGCTTTCTCGTTCTCTTCTTCTGCTTTTCCCCGCCCGTGTCCCTGGGGTCGAAATGCTGACATCCCGGGACGTGATCCCAGGGGATGCGATCTCTCAGAACAGGTCATCATTTACCGCACTTTCAAATTTTCACAGTCCACTTTTTCACTTGTCTGTAGTTTCCCCTTTTTCTACGAATTTACCACACTATAAAATCTTATCGGACCTTTTAAAGGGATCTGAAACTTAATACAAAATACCCCAAATGTCCAGATTTCAAGAAAAAATTATAATACCAAGAACGGGAAGGTATCGAGCTGAATGAAAGACAAGCAACAGATGCCTACAGCACGGGGACCCCGGTATCGGAATCATCCGACAAAGATTTTAAAGCAGCCACGAAAAAACTTGTTTCAGTAAGCAATTACAAACATGGCTGGAACCAATGAAAACAGAAAAAGTTTCAACAAAGAAAGTTCAAAGGAATTTCTTCAGGCGGAATGGGGCACAGGAGATGCCGTAGACAGTGAGGCGGAGGGAGCCGGGGTGGGGTGCGCGAGATGCTCCCCGTGGCTTAAATTCTTTAAGAGAAAACTGAGCATTTCAAGGAAAAATAATAACATTGCACGGTGGATCCCATCGGAGGGAGAAATAATAGAACGAAGGATGGGGAGAGTCACGGGAAGCAGCGCTGCGAGGAGCTGATGTCATACGCCAGGTGGCAAGCAGCGCTGCGAGGAGCTGATGTCATACGCCAGGCGGCGACACCGTACGCCAGGTGGTGACACTGTACTGCCAGGCGGTGACACTGTATGCCAGGTGGTGACACCGTACGCCAGGCCGTGACACTGTACACCAGGTGATGACACCAGTGCCAGGCGCTGACGTCATATGACAGACAGTGATGCCATGCGCCAGGTGGTGACACCATACGCCAGGCGGCGACACCATACGCCAGGCGGTGACACCATATGCCAGGTGGTGATACTGTACGCCAGGCGGTGACACCATACTCCAGGCGGTAACACCATATGCCAGGCGGTGACACTGTATGCCAGGTGGTGACACCGTACGCCAGGCCGTGACACTGTACACCAGGTGATGACACCAGTGCCAGGCGCTGACGTCATATGACAGACAGTGATGCCATGCGCCGGGTGGTGACACCATACGCCAGGCGGCGACACCGTACTCCAGGCGGTGACACCATATGCAAGGTGGTGACACTGTATGCCATTGGTGACACCAGTGCCAGGCTCTGACGTCATATGGCAGACTGTGACACCATACGCCAGGCAGTGACACCGTACTCCAGGCGGTGACACCGTACGTCAGGTGATGACACCATACGCCAGGCGGTGACACCGTACTCCAGGCGGTGACACTGTACGTCAGGTGATGACACCATACGCCAGGTGGTGACACCATACTCCAGGCAGTAACACTGTATGCAAGGCGGTGACACTGTACGCCAGGCAGTGACCCCGTACTACAAGCAGTGACACTGTATGCCAGGTGGTGACACCATACTCCAGGCAGTGACACCGTACTCCAGGTGGTGACACTGTATGCAAGGCGGTGACACCATAAGCCAGGCAGTGACACCATACTCCAGGCGGTGACACCATATGCCAGGCGGTGACACTGTATGCCAGGTGGTGACACCATACACCAGGCGGTGACACTGTACGCCAGGCAGTGACCCCGTACTACAAGCAGTGACACTGTATGCCAGGTGATGACACTGTGTGCCAGGCGGTGACACCATACGCCAGGCAGTGACACCGTACTCCAGGTGGTGACACTGTATGCTAGGTGATGACACCAGTGCCAGGTGGCAGACAGTGACACCATGCACCAAGCGGTGACACCATACACCAGGCAGTGACACCGTATGCCACGCGGTCTCACTTAGCTCCAGAGAAGAATGTGGTCAGTTGAGGTGCAGAGGACCCTTAACCCCTGCCGTGGGCAGTCTGCGCTGTCATAAAACAGGTGCGTCTCACCGCCTGCCTCCGCCCGCCCCCTCCGCTGACTGTCCGCGGCCCTGATGTCCTCTGGCCACTGGCCTCCTTTCTGGACCTGAAACGCACAGGCCATCTCCTTCCTGGCTCTGTGTGCCTTAATGTCCCGCTGCCCTAGGGTATCCATTCAGGTAAAAGCCGATGCCCGCTGGGACGAGGGCACGCCCTGTCCCCGAGTCACCGGGGACACAAACCAGCTGTGTGACACAGGACGTGCCTTCCCTTGTAGAGCGTGTCCGCAGGCGGGGGTGGGATGTGGGAAGGAAATACAAACCAACCCACCTACCCTCAAAACAGAATTGACTTTGCGAAGATGACCTTGGCCTTCAGAGCTGTGGTGAATCTGAACACTAGTCGGTCTCTGGCGCCCCCTGGTGGCGAGTTTAGCCAATAGCTTTCCTGATTGTGCTACTCGCTCAGAGTGACCGAAATTGGGGCCACCTGCGCGGGTTCCCACGGGGGAGGAAGGAGGTAACGCTGTGCCTTCTTTCAGTTCCCACTGTGTGCACGTGTCCCCTACACGGTGTGTTTAGTGCCAGGGCTTCTCGTTCGTGTGACTCTTGGTGATTTTGCTATTCAAAATGATCCTAGTAAAAAAGCTATTTAAAAATTGGTAAAAACGTTTCTATAAAATATAAAGTGATATAAAAATGGCAGCAACTTTTGGACCAGGGGCCCCGTGGGCACTGCATTCTCTCCAGGCTTATGTGTGTGTGAATGGCAGTCACAGCCTCTCCAGCATGCAGGTGTGAAGTATTTACGGTGCTAAGGAGACAGTGTAACATGTGGGAGTTATTAGATCAGATAGGACGAGAGTGTGATGAGTTAAAATTACGTAGCTTAAAACATACAAAATTAAGGGCTGCATGATATTTACTGATATTGCTTATTAAAACATTAAGTGAGCAGCTAAATGAACTGTATACCCAGCATGTTTGTATTTTTATAAAGGAAATTACAGCCACTTTTACTTTCTTTCATTGAGCTTTTCTCAAATTTCTTTGCTTTCTGAATCAAGCAGAATGACTTCATTAAATAGAAAAATACTGTTATTACTAAAAATCTCTATTAGCCAATCGTGCAGAATTTTTCTTACAGTTAACATACCCAGGGAGCATCTGGCGATCCATTCTTGAAGATGACAAGCATACGGGTAAAGGAATCTACAGCAGCTTTAAACAATGGTCCCCAAAGCCAGGCAGAATGCTGTCTACTGTCCCTAAGAGCAAGTGGCTGTGCTGTGCCTCACGAAGAGACGCGTCAGGTCAGCTTTGCCCGGGGGCGAGTGACAGTGCTATTGGCTGTGAGTTCAGAGCCGATGACAACACCATGCATGCAAAATAGGTGTCTTTAGGCAGAACGCACATAGAGCGAGTTTACGTACGGCTGGCTGACCAAAACGCTGTGACCAGAGGCCCGAAGGTCCCTAAGCCTGTACTTCCCCTGCGCGTCCGCTAGTTCTGTGTCTGCGGTGACTTTAGCGGTGGTCCCCAACCTTCGTGGCCCCAGGGACCGCTGCTCCTGTGAGAATCTGATGCCTGAGGATCCGAGGCGGAGCTGAGGCGGTGATGCTGGCGCTGGGAGCGGCTGCAGATACCGATGAAGCTTCGCTCGCTCCTGCTCACCTCCTGCTGTGCGGCCCGGTTCCTAACAGGCCGCGGATTGGTACTGGTCCACAGACTGAGAGTTTAGGGACCCCTGATTTAGAGGACCGAGCCAGCGCAGGTGAGCAGGACCTGCGGTGCGCGGGGGTGAGAGCCAGGCTGACACGGGGAGGGGAGACCCAGCCCCCGCCCAGCCTCTGCTGTTACGCAGGTGGGACCAGAGCGGGGAGGCCACGGGCCCCTTCTGCACACTCAGGCAGAGGCCTGTTTTCCTGTCGTCGAGGGCTTTTGTGACCTCTACACCAAACAGTGACTAGAGAAAAGGGGAGTCCTCAGGCAGTGTCACCAGGGCCCCGGGGAAAGGCGAGGGGCCTGGGTGGGTGCCCCTCTCCTGTGAGCCCAGCGGAAGAGTCCAGCGCGTAGGCAGTAGAGCAGAGGTTGGGGGCTGGACCCCCATGCCCCGGGCTCGGTGGTCTGCACAGATCCTCAGCCACGCGGGCTGCGGCTAAGGGCCCTCGGTCTCCGCTGATGGCTTGCTCGGGGACAGCTGGGGGTCTCTTTCCCACCAGAGCCCGGGGCAAGTGCTCCAGGCCACCCGTGGGATCGAGGAGAGTGTGCTGTTCTCCCACCACGTGCTGGGGGAGCCCTGGACTCCGCCCAGGCCCCTCGCCGCCTGCCTCCTGGCCTCAGAAGCTCGTCCCGCTGCTGCCACCAGCACCCCGTCCCCTCTCCCCACTGAGAAGGCGCACGAGGCTAGGACACGAAGGAAGTTGGGGCGGTGACCTGGAGCATGACAGCAGGCAGCCGGCCTCCCACACTGAAGGCAGGCAGGGCACCCGGCCGGAAATAGGCCAAGACTGCAGACTCAGTCACCACTGGGCGACGAAAGCGTTTCTGGGCCTCTGCTCCTCCCTGGCACCGGTGGGGCTCAGACGCAGCCCGAGATGGGGCGCCAGGCAGACGCCCAGGAGCCACCGACTCCCCATGGACAGCGACCGTGCGGGCAGGAAGCCATACCCATGCACAGGGGACAGCGTGCGCAGCTGCCCCGGACGCGCCGTGGAGGCAGGGTGTTGACGCTGGCTCCGAAGGCTTTATTGAGCAGGGACATTTTGACATCAGAATTCAGGGCTCGGGGAGGGAAGGCTGCTCCCAGCTCACCTGCTTCCCTTCCAGGCACCAGGGGGCCTCTGCGGGACGTGGGGACAGGGGGACGGGGGAGGGGTGAGAGGTGGGGACACAGGGCACAGGTGGGTGGCTCAGGCTACTCCCTCCCCCGTACACCATCAGCCAGCTCCGGAGCGGTGGTTTGTCATGAAGGTCAGCCACTCACGTCCCCATGGCCGGCTCCGTCAGGACCCGAAGGCCACGGTCTGGGCGCTGGCCCCTCGAACGGCGTCGGGCCGGGGCCCCTGGCGCTGTCCCGTCCACGCCTCAGAACGCTGTGTTGAAGGGGTAGTCCTTGTGGTTTTTGGTTCTGGAGACCAGAAAATAAATGGCGAAGAAACAGAGAGAGACTCTCAGTGTACGAGAAACGTTGTGAGCGACCGAGTTACGTGTTTCCGTGGTCCCTGGCACGCGACCCTCGTCCTTGGGCTCACTGAGGGGTCCTTCCCCGAACAGTGACGATTCTGAGATCAAGCCTTAATCAGCCTCAAGTGTCACACGCGGCCGTCTGGGGACCGGCCGTCGGGGGTGACGGCGCCTGTGCCCAGCGGTGGCGGAGCCCACTCACGTGTCGAAGGCACAGAGTCGCAGGTTCCTGTCCAGGCCTAGAAGGTCATTCATTTCCTGTTCTGTCAACTCGAAGTCGAATACCTGGAACCAAAGCACGATATCCACGGCTCACGCAGGGGACACTCAGCGGAGCACGAGCCACTGCGGGGCGCTGAGCCGACGCCTGGGGGACACTTTCTGTGACACCCGTTGTGGTCCCCGGCCCTCGGCCTCTGCTCCCAGAGGCACTGGCATGTGGCCGTCTGGAGCCCTTGGAAAGATAGGGTGTGCGCTATTTGTCCCTCAGGAGTGAGGGGTATACAGAGCAGTCCAAAGGTGTAGCAAAGAAGTTCCCCACGATTGCAGAAACACCCCAAAATGTCCCAATATCCCCCAAAACATCTGTTCCACCCCGCGCAGCTAGGGAGGCCCCGTGACTCCGCAGTGGCCGTGACACGCGTGACCCGCAGGTGTCTTGCCGGCCCGTGTGCTCGGCTGCTCCCATTTGGCCCTGACACACCTGGGGCCGGCGACCTGTTCCTGCTTCGCAGCTTCTACACAGGACAGCCAGCCGAGGGCCAGGAGAGACGGCCCCCTGCGCCCAGGAAGGGACAGGCCCCGGCCACAGGAGCCCCTCTGCGCGGTGCGGCAGAGGCGGGGACTCCGTGTTCGCGGCTCGGCCTGGAGAGGCTGGCCCCGGCAGCGGGGACCATCGGCAGTGTGGCCGAGCGGGGCTGGCACCCTGGTCCACCGCGCCTCCCTCCCCGTTTCACCCTGTCTGCAGCCTGGGCTAGGGCCTCAGCTCCGGTCCCCACGCTGTGGCCCGGCGAGAGGCTCCCGCTCACACGGGGCCCCAGCCCTCTGACACCCAGGAAGACACTTGCCTGAATGTTCTCGAGAATCCGCTTTGGGTTAACGGACTTGGGAATGACGATCACATTTCTCTGGACCTGAAACCGGACCAATATCTGCAGGAAAAAAAGCCTAATATGAGACGGGGTCATATGGGGATGGGGTCCAGCTGCTTCCCCGAGGGTCACGTTTTCTGTGCACAAAGCCCACCGTCGGGGCCACGGATGCTGTGACCACACACTCTCCATTCCAGAGCCTTAGGGACAAACGTCACTTTGTGCCACCGGCACGGGGCGAGAGATGCCGCTGGCCTGGGAGCTCAGAGGACCAGCCAGCGCCTCAGCGAGACTTCATGACCGTGTCCAGTCCTCAAACAACAGGCCCTCAGAGCAAGGAGAGAGTACTAGATGCCTCTTCCGGTCACTCAGCGGGCGGGCTGAGGGATGCGGCCCCAGGGGTCTGAGGAACACCAGAGAGCTCTGGTCAGTTACCAGCTTGGCCAGAAGGGTCCTCCCCACCTGGTCCAGGGCTCCCGGAGCAAGCCGAGCGGCGTTCCCCCGCCCAGCAGGCGCCCCACCTGCCTGAGCCGGAGACTTCTGATGCTTCCGTGCGATGCTCTGAATCACAGGGTCGTCCATCAGGTCCACCCCCTCGCTGCAGGGGACAGGGCAGGGCTAAGACCCCACGCCGCCCCTCAGGAAGGCGAGACCCCCTCCACCGTGGGAGCCCTGCGCTCCTCCTGTCTGGCTCCAACACCTGCGGGATGTCTGGGTGGTGCAGGAAAGCCTGTCACCACACCTGCTGTCTAGGGACGTCAAGGTTCACACCTGGGGAACATGGCTGGACGCACTGCCCATGCCTACGTGGTGCTCTGTCTGGAGACGCGGGAGGCAGCTTGGGGCGCGCAGGCCTCTGCCTCTGCCACGGCTTCCGGGCTCTTCCTGGGGGCCGGCAGCGCCACCGCCAAGAACAGACGGCTGCGGATGGTGGCCCCAGACGAGCCGCCGTCGACTGCCACGAGGAAGCCGGTGTGGTGGACACGCGGGCCTTCCTGCGGCTGTGAGGCTGCCCCGGACCTGCCCCTCGGCGTCTGCCCAGCCGCAGACAGGCCTGACGCGCCCCGCGGAGCCATCGTCCAGCGAATGTTTATTGAGCAGTTAATCAACATTTCGCGCACTGGGCGAGGAACAGCCCTCAGCGACTCCTGCAGGGACCAGAGCCCACTGCATCTGGCCGTGGGCCCAGGGCGCTGGCCACCTCCCTCCACTCACTGTCCCACTGGGTTCTGCCGCCCGGGCTCAGCTGCGGATATGACTCAGCCTCTCCCAAGTTCACACACTCGGGCCCATCTCACCGGGGGACACGCGGGCAAAAGCAAATAATTTTGGTCTTTGCTGTGCTGCTGTCGTGCCCTGGGCACTAAGCTAGGGGCTGGGCCGAGAGTCACGACTTAGGTGTAGCCCTGCACGCCAGTAGCTCTGCCACGCGGGAGAGACTGAGAAGAAAGTATGGACAAGATAGTGTGACGGGCTGTGGACAAAACACAGATAAGGGGAAATCAGGAGGGCCGCCTGGAGGAGGTGGCCCTGAATTAAGCCTTACATTAGACATTGGAGTTAGCCCGATTAAAAAGAAAGATGGCAACAAGCTTTCCGGGTGAAGAGAACAGTGCAGAAGCACAGACACGGGAAGGGCGTGTGACGGCCTAGGTGCAGGCATGTTCGCAGGAGGGAAGGAGGTGAGGCGGCCAGGCCTGTCGGGACCACTAGGCCATGCCAGGACCTGAAGAGTCTGTCAGCAGGAGGGTGACACGGCTGTGCGGACGGTGGCTGAGAACCCGGCCAACTTGGGAGGAGTCAGGGGCCGCTGTCACGAGGGCGGTGACATGGCACAGAGTGGAGACGGACTCCGAGGTCGCAGGCAGATGACTGGCGCCCTTGCTGACCGGTGGGCTGGGGGCCGGGAAGGACGATCCCATGCTCTGGCCCAGGGGGCTGTGGGCGGCGGCTCGTCCGCTGATGTTGGGGGCTCAGGGCAGAGTTCAGCTTCTGGGGGACCTTTCCACAGAGGTGGAGACATGTGGCCTGTCCTGATGGGGCTGGCAGAGGACTGTGGACACGAGGCGTGAGCTCGGCGCTTCCTGCTTGTCATGCCCCTTATGCATGACTAGGCCCTCGACAGCTCCCGGCACCGGCCCCCCAGCACACAGGGTGGCTGAGGTCTCCCCGCCCTGCTCACCCTCCGTTGACCGTGCACCCACTCCGGCCACGCGCCCCTACCTGGAGCCACCGAGGGGCCGGTACGCAGTCACGGACACACCTCTGGACTGGCAGAAGCTGATCAGGTTCTTCTGAGCAAGGTACGGGTGGCACTCGATCTGCGAGGACAATCACAGCTGACCGAGACCACTCAGACCCATGTGGGCATCCCAGCCCTGCCCCCGACGAGCCGCGTGGCCATCCCAAGCCCGCGGCCCACGCCTGGGCAGTGAAGGGCCGGGCTGCGGGGCTCAGAGGTGCCGCCCGTAGACAGGCCTGAGGGATGGCGTCAGGGCACACCGTGGGCCCGGTACACGGGCCACTAGTGGGCAGCGCAGGTGTCGTCGCTCTTTGTGACCGGCTGCTTGGCCACTGGGGCGAGTGCTGCATGGGGGCGGGGACTTGGGCCTGGGTTCTGCTCGCAGACACCTGGCTCCCCAACATGTAGGTGGACGGCAGGTGCTCGGCGAGTGTTTGTCCAGCGGATGACGGAGGCAGGGGAGGCACGCGTGACAAACACGCTGCGGCCAACCCCTGGGGGCAGCTCAGGAAACTCGTGAGCAGACTCCCGCCTCCTGCACGTCCTGAGTGCCCACCTGCTTCCAGCCGGGAGAGGCTTAGAGTAAACACGCGGCAGAGCGGGTTCAGAACCATGGACAGTGCCCGCCGGCCAGGAGGCCCAGCCAGGGACCTGAAGGAGAGGCCGCTGGCTTCCCAGAAGCCCCTCGAAGGGGTGCTGCTGGGGTTCACCACCCACTGGGTGGCAAGGCCTCCCCACCTCACAGTCTGGGCGGCAGCACGCCCCTGATTTAAAGTACCACTAAGCCGATGCCGGACACACGGCGGGAGCAGCTCTGCACAGAAACAGCCTATGTGCCCGAGGTCTGGAGGCGGGGAGACCAGGGGCAGCAGGCTGGATGTGGGCCGCTCCCCATGCTGGTGGCCAGAGCCTCGGGGAGGCTGTGGCCGGCCCTGGCTCTGGTCGCTGCACACGTGTGTGCTCACCGAGCTGCCTGCGAGGCCCAGCCACGGGGATCCCTGCGTCTGCTGTGCCTCGGTTTGGAGTGCCATTTATACCAAGGTGCAGAACGCGATGCTCTGTTCGGAGTGTCCCCAAAGTGGGACAGCCCGAAGGCCTTTCGACAGCAGACGGGACCCTCGCATGGGGACAAGGTGGACGGCCCCGCGCGAACACGGGAGGATCTGACACGCATGCTGCGTGTGGGGAGCCAGACCCAGAGGAGCATGCGTGTCGCACGTCCGGGCACGGTCCGCAGGCCAGCCTGCGCTGTCAGACACGGGCAGCCCTCGGCGGGCGGGGGCTCCTGGGACGCCGGCCGTGGGGTTTTTCCCAGGGCGAGGGCCGTCATGGGCACGTACCAAACTCTGATCTCACGTATGCACTTTTTGCAAATACACAAGATGCTAATAAGAAGTTTAAGTAAAATAAATGTCCTTCACCTTACAGAGCCAGCTAGTCTATGAAACTGCCCCTCATCCTGCGGCATTCAAGTCTCAGCAGCGTCTGAGAACCTTTCGGTTGTCCCGCGGTTTCCCGCTGCAACCTGCTCGGCTGGGGAGAGCGGGGAGGGGCCCTTGGCTCTCCCCCGGGAGGCCGGCGGCCTCTGACCATCACCAACGAGGGATGAGGGCCTGCCAGGCCTGCTGCCATTTCCCAAGACATCTGCTGACCCCCCACGGCTGCACACGGGGAGACGCTTATCTCTCGCCTTCCATCCAACGCCACCTCCTCACAGACACGCCTTTAAAAAGGCCTTGCCCGCCCGCCGTCACCGTCCACTGCCCCGTGTCACCTTCCACAGCCTGCCTCGCGCTCTGCCCCCGCTTTCGTCTCCAGCACAGGCAAGCGGTGGGGACAGCGGAGAAGCCGGCTGTGTCAGCTAAAGCTGCTTGGCGTCCACAGCTCACCTGGTTGGTCAATGGCTTGAACCGCAAGTTGGGTTTACTCAAAAGTCTGTCCAGCTGCTCGTGGTTGAAGTTGGACACTCCGATGGCCTTCACCAGCCCTGCGTCCACCAGGTCCTCCATGGCCTAGCAGGGACGAGAACGACTTGTGGCGTGGCCGTCCACTCCACTGACCACCTGTGGCACGCGCTCCTTCGCACGGCATTCCACAACTGGCTCTGCTCGACATCTGAGGACATTTTACTTGACGTGTCAGGAGCATCTGAGGTCTACGTTTCTGTCGGTTAGTGGCTGGGGGTCTTGGGCACCATGATATGACCTCGCTAAGCCTCGATTTCCTCATCTGCCCAAAGGGGACGATTATCCATGTCACAGGGTTAAGGACATACCGAATCATGCACACGGCACTCAGCTAACACTCGGCACTGCAGCTGTGATGGTTCTGACTGCCCTGGTGCCTGTGGGAACGCCCGCCGACTGCCTAGCTCGCCGCCCCCCTCAGCACGCTGATGCAGGCCACTCCGACCCAGCACTGCCCCCCGCCTGACGGGGCTCGAGGGCAGAGCGCCTGGAAGTCCTGTGCTGTTGCCTGACCGGCAGGCCGGGCTGGCCCTCAGCTTCAGATGCACCGGGGCGAGCGGGCGGCACGTTGCTAAGTGGCCGTGGGGCTGGCGGCCAGAGTTGGTGTGCACCGCAGACGTCACCCAGGCCTCGCCTGTGTGACGCCAACAGCCCAGCATCGGTGAACCTGGGCCCGGGGCCGTGGGTGGCCGACAGCTCAGATGCCTGGGTCACCCCTGTCCGGCCGATTTGGCTGTTGGGAGTGGGAGGCCGAGGCCGGGCGGTTCCAGGGGACTCGCGCTGTCCCCTCGCTCACGCTCACTCTCAGGCTGGTCCACCAGGCTCCAGGTGCCCGGTGGGCGGGGCTCGGGCCAGCCTCCCACACCTTGGATTCACTGCCACGTGCCCCACACCTGTTACCTCCTGACTCCCGCTTCACCGCAGGCCTCACCGCTTCTCACCCAGACGCCTGCAGCAGGCCGGACGTGGCCCCTCTCCTCCCAGCCCCACCCTGGCGTCACCGGCGGCCACGGTTTCCCTCCCGAGACGCCTACGAAGGGGCCACAGGGACTGCAGGTCACCAGGGAGGGTGACACCAGCTGACGGGGCACAGACGGTGAAATTTTCTTTTTCACATTCTCCTGTAGTTTCGGCAATGACCATGTGGTATTTTTAAACCAAAGAATGAATAAGCATTTTAGGGCGAAGGGTGGTCTGGATCAGCTATCCCTAAAACAGGTTTCAGACGAGCCAGACGACACCGAGCTCTGAGTCCCGTAGCCTGGCGTCCCCTCCGTACATGTGTGACACATGTGCGTCTCGAGGACACACAGGCCAGTGTCTCTAAGCAGGAGAGGGCCCCATGGGAGACGCCGCCCGGGCTCAGCCTACCTCCCACGTGTCCAGGTAGTCGGTGTCACTCGGAACTGTCATGCCGTTGTGGTCCAAAGGCAGGTCCTCCTCCCCGGGCTGCGAGGACGAGAGGGGAGCAGCTTGCTGAGGCAGGGCTGGCACCCCAATCGGGGGGCTGGGTGCAGGCGGCACGGTGCCCTGCGGCCTCCTTTCCCCAGGCCCCGCTCGCGCCTTGGCAAGACCTCGCGCTGGCCGGACTGGGTGGCCAGCGAAGTCCCCGCCGGCCCGGACGTCCACTGCCCACACCTCGCCGGGCAGGAAAGGATGACTTGGAGGCTGGCCCGTGGCAGAACGCGGTTCGGCATCTTCGGGGGACGAGCAGGGTCGACTGCCCCCCGAGCACACTGCCAGGCTCCGCCCTGCTTTTCCTAGCCCCCCACCACGGCGGGGCAGAGCAGTGGGGATTAGGGCACAGAGCACAGGCGGCCGCGGGCACCGACGTGCAGTCCGCCTGCCCGCCACGCTCAGCGCTGCTGCCTCTCATGGGCAGACGGGGTGTGCGCGACACACGTTTACTCAGTGACACCCAATCGTTCTCGTGAGCTACACGGGGAAAGCCGTCTGAAACTGCAGCCTGACCCACGTTTCTGAGGAATTTTCCATATGAAGCAACTAACTGTCCCGCCACAGAGCCCCCTCCCACAGTGCCGCGTCCCTCTGCCTCTGCACGAGCACTGCCTGGCCCCGTCCTTGGGGTCGGCTGACACCCAGACGGCCCAGGACAGTGACCTGCCAGAGGATGACGGCTCCTGGGCCCCGGGAACCCTCCAGAGCCTCCCTGCGCCTCGGCTGCCCCACCTGAGCCACGGGGACAGGAACGCGGCCCACACGCAGAGCCGTGGTGAGGCCCGAGAGGGGAAGGTGCACGAGGCGCCTCCGCCGTGCCTGGTTCCCCAAGAGCGGAGCTCGGCAGCCGTGGACGCGGCCACTGCAGAGCAGCGGGCCCTGAACCGGCACCCTCAGCCCCGCCGCTCTGCCCTGCCAGCGTGATGATGTGCCGCTGTCACATCCTCATCGAAAGCACAGAGCTGGAGGCAAAGCCGCACGCGGCACGAAGCGGTTTCTGCGGCTTAATCTAGAAAGACACCGCGCTGGGCGCACACCATGCACGAGCTCCTCACACACGCGCACACGTGGGGGACGCCCGTGCACCGCCGCCCACACCAACGGAGGGACAACGCCCTTCCGAGGATGTCTCTGCTCCCCAGGGCCACCTGGGGGACTGAGCCCCGGGTTGGGCAGGCTGCATCTTGGAGGGGCCGGTGCACGGGGCCACCCACGCCAGGACCAGCCCGGGCCGAGGCTGGGCGAGGGGCGAGCTGGTGTGACGGAGACACGGCGTGAGGTGCAGTCCAGTGGAGAGCACAAACCGGATGGAGAAATAAGCTCCCCCAGACCCCACCGGGCCCACTGCCGGTGATCAGGCGGATGGGCCCCATTCCACAGAGCGGCTGTCGCGCCCCAGGGCCCTGGGAAGTGACGAGAGCAGCAGCGTGTGCTCTGAGACCTGCTTTCCCCTGAAGACCGGTGGGAAAGATGGCTGCCCGCTTGGCTTAGAGAAGCAAGGACCAAGGGGACTGGAGGACCTTGAGCCCAAGCCTGTCCTGAGCCGAGGCCTGGGGACAGGTGACTGTGCGTGTGTGGCTGCCGCCGCCTGAGGACCCCTGTGCCCCGGCTGCCGGCCCAGCTCTCCCCACCGCCCGCCGGGCAAGACCAGGCAGAACGGTGCCAGCGAGGACTCGGCAGCGCCCGAGCAGTACCTTGAAGCCCATTGGCCAGTGCATGAGGTAGAGGTCCAAGTAGTCCAGCTTCAAGTCCTTCAGGGTCCTGCAGCAGGCTGCTCTCACCAAGGTCTTCTTATGGCAGGTGCACCAGAGCTGCAAGGGGAGGCGGACAGCTCACTGCCACGTCGGCCCCTGGCTCCCACAAAGCACCCAGGAGCAGACGGCCGTAAACGCAGCGGGCAGTGGCACAGGCCCCCGGGGGCCACACGTCTGCAAAGCCGGCTCCCTCTGCCTCACTCCCCTCATGGAGGTCGGGGAAGCATGAAATATCTGCATCCACTGGGACCAAAAACAGATGCCCGCAGACAGAAAAGATATGAGGAAAAATCTGCAGAATTTCTGTACTGAGTTTCCCACTTAAACAGACCCCCTGTGGAAGGTTCTCTGTGACTGAGGCCTCGTCGTCCTGCGGTTAGAGCAGGTGGGCACTCAGCCACGGCCGCGTATGCCCTCTGTGACACAGTGACTTCGTGACTCGTTCTCGCTCATTATTTGCTTCATTATACTATTTAAGATTAACTGTGACAGAAGCTGATCTGAAGGCGCCATCGCAGCAAAAGGACAAACAAAAATAAGCAGAAGAAAGAAGATCAAAATATGCAAAAATAAACCACAAGCACAGGGTATTAACAAAAAAGAAACCAGAAGTAAGTATGTCATACTGTTAACAATAATGCTTTCTAGGTGGTGGGTATATCTCCGATTTGTTTTTTAAAACTTATATTTCTAAGGCTTTTCTAAATTTCTAGAATAGTGGGCACGCAGCCTCTAGGGGGTGACCTGTCCCCAGATCACAGGACTGGCCCTGGACACAAACCCCCAGGTGCCCATCGCCGCACCCCGGCGGTCAGGGGAGATTGTGGTCCCTTGGTCAAGGTCACACATCGCCTGCTCTGTCACAGCACTGCTGAGTGACGAGCAGGAACTCTCTCTGGTGACGGAGCAGCAAACCTACTACAGGGGCAGACTGAACCCTGCGACTGTGGAAGACACTCAGGGAGTAAGCACCGCAGAGTCTGTGCCACACGCGAGGACGAGGACGCTGGGGCCCAAGCCAGCTGTGACTGACGCCGTCCCTCACGTCTCAGGCCAGAGCTGGCACGTGACCCCACGGTTCCTGGCCTGATGGCCTTAGCAAGCTGCTGCTCCCAGCTCGGCCATCGCCCCCTCCCACCTCCACGGCCGTTACGGTCTCCTGCCTCCCGCCTCCGTCCACACGCACGCGGCCCGCCCCGGCCACATCTCCCACACGGCGCTGGTCCCACTCACATGGAGGCGAGCGGCCCCCTGAGACCTGGGGACAAAGGGCACCCCTAAGACGGCATCCGGCCTTCCGGGGCCAGCCCGTCCCCGGCACCGGCCTCGCTGCTCCTGTCGGCTGCCAACACTGCTCGACCCAGGAGCTAACCGCAAGCTTCTGACAGGTCCCCGTACCCCACGCACTGACCCATGCCTCGTGCTGTCCCCTCCGCTTATCACGCTGTCCCCGGTCCCTTCAGCCGCGCCACTCCCAGAAGTCAGGCCTGGGTCAAGTATGGATGGAGTGGCCAGCTCCACGGCAGCCTGGGAAATCGTCCGGGCGCCGAGCCAGCTGTCCTGTCGCCAGGCCCTCATCGGCCGCCCCTCGGGCCTGGGGCGTCCTACCTTACTGGTGATGAACAGGTCCTCCCGCCGCACGGCGCCCTCGGTGACCTTGCACTGGAGGCCGGCGCCGATCTCGCCCTCGTTGTGGTACAGGTACGCGCAGTCGAAGTGCCGGTACCCCGCGTCGATGGCCAGCTTCACCGCCTCCGTCACCTCCCCGGGAGCCGCCTGCGGAGGAGAGACGCGCACGTCACCCGCACACGCTCAGGAGAAGCCGGCCCCGCAGAACGCAGAGCCGGCACCCGGAGATGCAGACGCCACTGGACTGGCACCGTTCTCCATGGGCCCTAAAATGAGGGCACTGAGGCCAGAAAGCGGGGACCCACCGCCTCGGTTCAGCTCCCCCCGTACTTGGGCGAAACTCTATAGGTGTCTTTAGTGCCTGCGAGTAAACAAGCGAGAGGCTGTGCTTCCTCGGTGAACAAGGAATAAGCCGATGTAGGATGATCAATAATAATAATAATAATGATAATGATAATGATAACGATGGCTGAGCTACGAGGAGGCACAGACCCGCCCTGGGCCCGCAGAGATGCCAGTCCCTGTGTACAGGTGCACAGACGCTCACAGAAGCCAGCTAGCTCTTCGCATGGCAGCGTCTGCCCAAACCCAGGAGCAGCCTGGTGTCTGCAGAGTACGGATGTTTGGCGGAGAAAGCGCTCAGTGTGCCCTGGGCAGCCTGCCAGCACAGGGCCTGGGAGGGGGAAGACACGCTGGAAGGCTCCATTCCACCCACCCCAACATTCCCAGTGGGCTTCGGGGCTCGCAGAGCCGTCCTCACGTCGACCTCGGAGAGCCAGATCTTCGTTTAACAAGCGCTGGATTCAGAGTGGCTGCAAGCTAATGAACCAAGGATCCATCTTAAGTCAGAAAAGGAACCACCGAGGAATTAGAAGAGGAAATGACAATAAGAATAAATATCAAAGATAAAACAGAAGGTCAACAAGGTCAGAGGCTGGTTCTTCGAAAAACCTTAATGAAGTAGCCAAACTCCTGACAAGACTGAGAAGACCGACTTTTTTAAGTGACGTGAATGAGAGCACATACAGATAAAGTAGAGATTCGAAATCTATGAAAATGTTGTCAGTAACTGTAAGCTGGCAATTTGGAAAAATGAAACGAAATGGAAAAATTCCTAGAACAACTTCAGAAGCAATATACACTGAATTGTCTCATGATTATTCAAAAAATGAAGCGATTAGTTTAAGATATACATACGTGCAGAGTTCTACTAGATTTTCAGAACAGAAAACTCAATTTAAACAAAATCTTTTGGACAAGAGAAAAAGAGAAAATCACTCCCAACTCATTTGGTAGAAAATCATTCTACCAAACCAGCACAACCCTGACATCAAAAGCAGACAAAACGTTAAAAATTATACATTTATCTCACTTATGAATATAGTTGCAAAAATCCTCAGTAAAACAAGTTAGATACAATAAGAAAAATGATGTAGCACACTCATACTGAGGTTAGCCTAGATATCCAAGGATGGCTTGATAATAGAAAATCCATAATGATTCATAGATAAAAAGAAAAAAAAAAACCCTCTCGATTGATGTTGGATAAAATTCAACACGCACTCGTGATTTAGACTCTTAATAAATTAGGAGAAAGGAAACTCTTTAACCCAATAGAGAATATCCATGTTTAAAACAACAAAAACTCAGGAGAACAAAAACAAACCGAAAAACCCAGGCAGGCATCACCCATAATCATGGAAATGTTGGAAGCATTGCCTGTAAAGTCAGGAACGCGACGGAGGGGCCACTGCACCGGACGTCCCGCCCAAAACAGACAACTCAGAAAATGCCATCTGAGGCTGAAGGATCAGAGCACAAGCAAAGGAAACTCTCATTATCTGCAAACAATACGATCGTTTATGTAGAAAACCCAAGAGAAACTGTAGGCGAGTTCACGGAAATAAGAGTACAGTTTAGCGAAGCGACTGAGATGGTGGTAAATGAACCAAAGACAGCTGTTTTTCTAGGCACCGAAAGCAAACAAGTTGAGAACATAGTTTCAGATAAGCGTTATTTCAGCCGTGTTACAGACTACTGAATACCCAGGAAGAATTCCAACAAAGAAGCGTGTGTTCTCTACGGGGAAAGCTATACCACCACGTGAAGGGACATTTAGAGAGGAAATATGTTTAGGAGAATTTACTAACGAAATACACCATGCTTCTAGAGGGCCAGATTTGACATCACAAAGATGCCGATTCTCCTAGACTGATTTAATGTGATTCCACAGGCCCAGACACAGCTAGGCCCAGACACAGCTAGGCCCGTCTCCCCCCAGAACCGAAGCTGTCCTTGTGTTTCGCTTTGGCTGACTGAATGCATCAGAGATGCCAGTTCCAAGCCTCGGCCTCAGCAGCCTGGCAGGTCTTGTCGCCATGGTCCCAATAGCCCTGGGCTAGCCTGCTTGAGGATGAAAGTTAAGTGGAGCGGCCCACAGGTCCCAAGTGAGACCTGCCGGCCCCTGGACATGTGAGTGAGCCAGGCCGAGGTCCACATGAAGCTGTCCGGCTGACAACTGGACCTGCAGCGGTAACGAAGCATGTGCTGCTAAGCCGCCGAGCTTCTGCAGGTTGTGTTGTGGAAAACCTGAAGGCCTACCGCAACAAAGGGAGGTTTTGGCCTCTTAAGTACGGTTTTCACAGCTTTTCCTTACCCTGTGTGCAAGATCACGTGGACTTCTATATCCAGCCACGTGCAGAAGACAGAAGACGTAGAAGACAGAATCAGTCAGGCAAGAAAGTCAAGGCCATTAAAGTCATCAAGTGCTTATCGAATGGCTGCCAAATGCACGTCCTTGGCCAGATGCGGACAAGACAATGTGTAAAACCGTAAAACCATACCTTTGGCCTCTGAGAGCTGATATGGATAAAAGAAATCATTTAAACGATATTTAGACGAACAGGGATTGGTCATTCTAATTCCTACTTTCCAATAACTTCCTGTGTGATTTTTTAAAGGAACATCTTTTTATCAAAGACTCAGTTAAAAAAAAAAAAAGCAAACATGAAAGGCCTTTTAGTCAGTGTATGTCTCAAAGCACGGACAGGAATTAGAAGTCCCACAGGAATTAGAAGTCACACGTGAAGTCCAAACCACTTCCACCATCAGGGTCTTACGCAGGAAATAAAGTCCGGTAACACCTAGCGGGTCATGGAGCCATTTCCTTATCTTTTTGATACAGATAATGTATTCCAACGACAGTTGCTGTTTGATCTAGTCAGGTGGCTGCCACTCTTTCTGCCCTTACCCAACCTTGACGACTTTTTCCTCTGGGCCTTCCCAAACATTAGTTCTGAATAATTATGATTTGGCCCCAATACTGTAATAACTATGTATGGTGCCAGGTGGGCATTAGGCCAATGTGGGGGAAGGGAATCCCTCTGAAAGTTACATAAACCTTTAACCACCATGTTGCACACCCGAAACTAATATAAAATAATATCGGATGTTAACTCTAATTGAAAAAAAAAAAATGCCACAGGGACAACTCCCATTCTTAGAAAATTTGCGATCTAAAAATTCTATCAATTTTTTCAAACACAGTAAGCCTCCCAAGGAAGTACAGGCGACCAGTTGGTTGGCCTATGCTGCTGCGGGTGTCCCCGCGGGTGTCCCAGCAGGTGTCCCCGCGGGTGGCTCCTCCACATCAGGGCGGATCGCAGAGAGGACAGGCCCCGCACCTCCCCACCGCGAGGCCGCCTCACCTTCCAGGTGCCCAGGCCCACAATAGGTATCTTCTCCATGCTTCGGGGGACGTCTGCAGCTGCCACACCGGAGAGTGAAGCCATCGCTGTGGAGACTGGCTAGCAGCGCCGGCCCCGGACACAGCGGTTGGCTGGTAGCGCTGGCCCCGGACACAGCGATTGGCTGGCAGCGCCGGCACGGGACACCGCGATTGGCTGGAGGCCCTGACGGCGGGCGCCCCGGTTGGCGAGCAGTTAGCGGGCACGCCCACGTCTCTGGGGGGTGGGACGTTGGCCCGGGGGGCGCACGCCAGCTGTTGAAGTCCCGGCAGGATCCGGCCGCGTCCCAGTTTCCCAGGAGCACGCCCGAGGTGCACCGCATCCGGGGGCGGGGGAGCGATGCCGGGCTGATGGGCCGGGGTCCCCCGGATCCCGGCGTCAGCCCGGCCACCCCTGGGCGGCCTGGAGAGGACAGAGTCTGGAGCGCTGTGTCCTCAGCCCTGGGCGCCCAGGACCAGAGTAGGCCCCCGACCCCCACCCCACGGGGAGGGAGGGAAGGCCCGGTCCCCCGCTCTGCGACTTGAGCTTGGGGCAGGCTCGCAGGAGTGTTTTGTCTCGGTTCTCCTTGGATGGCCAGCCGCGCTGAATCCAGGAAATGCTTTTTACCCCGAGGTCCATGGGACGAGGGGCGGCACTGGATTGCCCCTCCGGAGACCAGGGCTGGACCCCCATTGCTGGAGACTCCCGGTGCTCAAGAGGAACTGGCCGGGGTGAGGAGAGGCGGCTTCGCGAGAGAGCTGGGCAGCCCGGGACCTTGGGCGGAAATCGGAGCCCTCCAGGTCCCTCTCATCACCCCCTGGAGCTTGCAGGTCCTGCTCTTTTGCCCCCTGGGGCCTGGGAGCCCCTGAAGACGCCAAACAAAAATGTGCTGTTTTCTGGTTTCCTGCCTTCGGCTGCAGCGCTGGGGCTGACCACAAGGGGCGGGCAACAGGAGCAGGGAAGGGACGGGGTCATTCTGGCCGTGCCTCTGCCCCCATCCCAACCTGCATCTTTTATTACTGGCCTCCATGCCACAGTGTGAGTTGTTCAGGGGCGGGGGGCTCTGAGAACCTCATGGATTCCTTCAGCTACTGAGAAAAAAGCAAAATTACTTTTTATTTGTGGGGCTGAAAAAATTCTTTACATACTGCATTTGCTTCACACTATGGCCACAAGTATTTTTGCATTTTGCTACTGTCCATTTTGTTTGACCCCTCCCTCTTTTGTCCCACTCCAGCGTGAAAATATGTCCCTGAACCTGGTAACCTGGTTGAGACTTGCAGGGTGGGGACTGTGAAGCAGGCACGCAGGAGAAGCTGGTAGAGTACGTGGTGTCTGACCTCCAGGGCAGACTCCTGTGTCACCCCCTTCTCCACACAATGGGGCACAGCCTGCTGCAGAGAGGCAGGTGCCGCTGCTGCCCACAGTAGCACACTGGGGACGCCGCAGCCACCTAGCTGTGTGTCTTGGGAATGTTCCTCCACCTCTCTGAGCCTCAGTTTGCTCGTGTGAAACCTGGAGTGCTACAAGGGCCAAACCCAGGGCTGTTGTCTGTACTAATGTGAGCTGTGCGGAGCACTGACCCTGAGCCTGACGTCTGACCCCGGGCCTGGCCCGTGGGGAGGACTGCTCAGGGCTGTGGTTGTTCTTGTTTATGGTTTTCTCTCCCAGGTGAAGAAGCTGTCTGTCTCAGGCCTCACTCATCCCATGGCCTTGGGGAAAGCTGCTCCCCGTTTGTAAAGGAGGTTTCACATTCTGTCTGGGGTCCCCTGACCCAGGGTGCACCGCGGAATCGAGGTTCACTCCAACAGCCACGCACATGTTAAGTGCCTACTGTGCGCAGGCCTTTTCTAGGTGCTCTGCATAGCTCACCGAATGCAGCATCCGAAGTCCCTGCCCCCGGGCTTCTAGTCCAGTCCCGGCCCAGCAGACATCAGAGCAGGTAGAGGACACAGGACACTGGATGCGAGCCCCCCTGGCCTCCTCTAGATATGGGTTCCTCTGCCCTCAACGTCAGGATGACAGACCCCAGGGACAACCAGAGGAGTGCGTGGGCTCTGGGTCAAGAGAAAGGGCTCCTGTCTCCATGGTGGGGGACATGGGCTGAGGCGGGGCCTAGCATCTGGAGGATGCGGACTTTACGGCCTGAAGCAGTTTGTGACTGACATGTAGCCTGGTGTGCCCAGCCGAGGCCTGGAGCACCTGCCTGCCTTTTGACCCAGCTGGGTGAGCAGGGGCCCACTGGGGCCAAGCTCTAGGGTGACTGAGGGTGGGCGTGGATGGGGAGGGGCAGTGCTGGGGTGGCTCAGACAATCAGGCGGACTCCGCCTGGGAAGACGTTGGTCTCCAGAAGGCTTGGGCCGGGATCTGCCTTTGGAGAGATCTGTGGGAAGGCGGGCATGCGGTAATCTCCTGCAGTCCCCGTGTGTCCCCAGAGTGGCGCTGGCCCCACACCAGCTCCTGCACCACCTCAAGAGCTAGATCCAGCTGCACACCTACAGCGCTGGAGCCCGAGGTGTCGGTCACGGGGCCTGGTGCCTCCTCCGGCAGCACAGCCAGAGCCAGAGCCAGAGCCAGAGCACAACCAGTTCTCGCGTCAGCTCCGGAGCTGGAGCGCGCCTGGCACTCCCCCGACACCCCCCGGTACCCCCCAGCACCAGCTCTTGAGGCGCAGCCAGCAGCTCTCCCCTCTGCTGGTCTCTCCCCTCTGCTGGTAGCAATTTTTGTTTCTTTTCCATTTTTCTCTTTCCTCTTTTTGAATTTTATAAACATTTTGTGTGTTAAAATTTAGATTCAATAAAATGTAACCTTCTGATCATTTTAAATTGTGCAGTTCAGAGGCATGAAGTACGTGCCCGTGCTGAGCACCAGCGTGCTCTAACTGCGGTGCCCACAGCCAGTTTCGTCTGTTTCTTTACCTAGTCTGGACTAGTCATATAAGTGGGATCCTAGAGTATGTGGGTTTTTGTGTCTGCCCACATTTTAAGAAGGACTAGTTAAATTATTTTTAAAATTCAAAATAGCAGTCTTGTATTTAAGAGGGAAACTCCGGGAAAAAAAATATGTGAAAACTGAAGTCCCTATAGTAGATATGTTCTAAGTGTCACTGAGAGCCAGAAGCCATAGACAGCTGGTTCTCTGTGGCCGACTGAACACAAGGAAAACATCCCAGTGGGGACACGAATGGAAACTAGAGCAGCACCCCTCAGAACCCAAGGCCAGGGCGAGGCTGAACATCCCTGTGACATCGGAAACTCAAAATGCCAGGAACAAACACGCAGTGCGACCGAGCACTGGGTGAGCGGTGCTCGGCCTCCTGTTGAGGATGCACCAAGCAGGGAGCATCGGGTCACCATCACGGCAGGTTTTATGTGTAGTGACAAGCAGCCCTGAGGGCAAAGCGAGGGAGCGGAGGCCCCACCAGATCCCCTGGAGGGAACTGAAAGGACACTCGCGGGACCGCTGAGGTCCCACAGGTGCACACCTTGACCTGGCAGTGCTGAGCCCGGGCCTGCATCCACGAAAGTCCCCGCACGCTTTGTCCAAGCCGTACGGCCACTAGTTACATCCACAGACTTCACGCAGGGCCATGGCCCAGCTTCTTAGCCGTGCGGGGCTGGAGAGTATGGCCTGGCGCCTGCCTGCTCCTCCTCCCCCAGGCCCGGCCGCACGCTTTGTCCAAGCCGTACGGCCACTAGTTACGTCCACAGACTTCATCGCAGGGCCATGGCCCAGCTTCTGAGCCGAGCAACCGGCTGCCATGCAGGGCTGGAGAGTATGGCCTGGCACCTGCCTACTCCCCCTCCCCCAGGCCCGGTGCCCCTTCCTCAGGAAAGCACGTCTAGGGCAGCTCAGTGAGCTACTGGACAGCCGTGAATATGCTCCGTCCAGGCCAAGCTCCGCTTGAGCCTGTGTGAGCAGAGCCCTTCACAAAACGGGGCTCAGGGAAGCTGCTGGGGGTTTAGAGATGCAAAAAAGGCTCCAGCCCTTCCAAGCTCCACTGGAATGGCCCTGTGCCAGCCCGCAGCTGGGACAGCACGCTCGGCGCCCTCGTGGCAGCGGACACCCTCGCGGTTCCCGCCTCGCAGTGAGAGCTTCAGGCTTTGCATTACGGTCTCCAGTAAGTTGTTCATTTCTTTAGTCCGAGTTTACTGAGGTTTTTATCATGAAAGGGGGATGAATCGTGTCACTTTTTTTTTTGCATCAGTTGAGATGATCGTGTCGTTTTTCCCTCACTCTGTCGATGTCAGGTATTGCACGGACTGCTTTCTGCATGCCTAAGCGTCCTCGGCACGTTGGGCTCCCCTGCTTAGGCTGTGAGAGCCATACGCATCCGTGCGCCCCAGGCATTCAAAGCCCTGACGCGCCCAGCGAGCACCCCTCACCGCCACTCCCGCCTCCAGGGGCCCTGCGAGCTCCTGCCAGCACCACCCCTCCCATAGCCCCGCAACCGCGATGGAACCACCCCCAAGGTGGTGCTCAGGGGCCACCTCCTTGGGCTTCTGTGCACATCGCAGCCTTTGGGGCAGACTGACCGGAAGCTGGGTGACAGCCCCGTGACTGGCAAGCTCCTATCCTGACCGCAGAGCCTGGGTTCAGCTGGTCTTGGTCGCGCGGTGCCACTGCTCACCTACAAACGAGCTGAGCTCACTGAGCACGCGGGGGCCGCGCACAACAGTAACTGCCCCAACACTCACTGCTCTCGGCGGGGGGCCCCCTTCTCCTGGGGCCCCCTCCTACGCTTGCCTGGAACTCCCGCCAGGAGAAAAGAGGGAGCGGGGCGGGGAGGAGGCGGCTTTTCCCGGCCTGCCGCAGCGTGCCCTGCGGCCTCCGCGAACCCCGACCCGACCATGCACTGGGCGGGCTCCTGGGACCGTCTGGGGACAAGGCCAGCGGGACAGGGGTCATTCCATAACTCTGTCCCCAGGTCTCCGGCCCGCCTGGCTGGAGTGAGGCAGCATGAGGGTTCCACGGGTCGGGGAGTCTCAGAGCAGCTGCTGCTGGGGACCAGCGGGACCTGCCTGGTTGGGAGCCGTGGGCGCGCTGTGCACACGGAGAGGTGGCGTCTTGTGCACGTGCTGCCCACGTCCCGTGCGTGCCCCGCCGCCCTCACCCAGGGGCCAAGGCCAAGGCGAGCCGGGCTCCTGCAGTTCCCCGGCCGGCCCTCGCGGGACATTCCTGAAACTGAGGCCAGGCTGGGGAGGTGGGCGGGGTCCGGAGGAGAAGGGGGTCCCTCTCAGGCCGGGGCTCAAGCCCCCCGCGGGGCTGCCTTGGGAATGAGAGCCCCGAGATGCTGGGCAGCCCCTCCCACGTGGGGGGTGTGGCATGCGCGGGCGCGCACACCCCTCCTTCCTAACCATCTACGTGCTCGGTATGAAGAGAGCATATTGGAAGTACGAGAAACTTAGCAGCGTTACCTGGAGCATGGAGCAATGAGGTAGAAGACATAATTTACAACATTTTGGATCTTGTGAGGTCATTTTTATAACGCATGTAATTAAAAATATATATTTTTTTCAAAAATAGTTCACACTGAAGCAACGTGAGAAAAAAAAATTCCTATATAAGCAGGCCACAAACTTAAGGCTCACATGTATTTTTTATAGACATCATTTTAGGAATAATTATTTTATTGTTGATTATTTATAGATAGGAAAAATTGGCAAATTGTAAATTAAGTAGATTACTACTTAGAACGTGCTTCATCTGAGCTTGGGGATACTTTGTGACCCTACAGAGATGGATGGATTTATTTAGGAAATAAAACTGAGGGAACGTAATTGTCTGATAAAACACGGTTACCTGTTGAGGATATCCCTTCTAAGACCCCACGGCACTTCCATCTTGGCGGCAGCAGGTGGACTTGTTTGGTTCTCCTGCCCCCCAGTGGTCATTTCTCAAAATGCAGACAATCTGTATGAAAGTTAATGTTTGAAACTCAGTTTCCTCATAATAATTTTGCAATATACTCATCATGTCTCAATTACATACTTTCTTGAGATTACCGACATTAAATTTAACTCTGGCATCTCTTGACTATTTGACTTAGTAAATTATCCAAAGCTACAATAATTTTCTGTAAAATTTTTACATCGATAGTATAATCTTAGATCTTACAACTACCACAGGGTTGTTTTTACATCGATAGTATAATCTTAGATCTTACAACTACCACAGGGTTGTAGGGGTGTTTTGCAATAAATGAAACCCCTTTAAATGTACTGTTTATTACTATTAACTAAGTCTTTCATATGCTGTGTTTATTTCCCATAACCACCCACATACATTGTGAAGTATATACAGTATTATTGAGATTTCACAAGGAAATAAAATGATCCTGAAGGAGGCTAATAAAACTTAGGAAGGGCTACACCCCAGGCTTGAGACACTGAGTTTGGTTCCCTAACTTTCCTTCTTCTCTTAAAAATCCATATAGTTAATTTTGAATTGATTTAAAATTATTTAACCTAAATAAATTGGTAGTGTGTTCTAATGTTTTAACGTATTACTTAAAGCAACACTTATGTATCACATTTTTTCATATGCTAATGTAGGTCAACCTTAAAGACTTAGAATCTTTCATAAGAACCAAGCCCCATTAGGGAAGGTGAGTTTTTAGAAAGACCAAAAAAAAAAAAAAAGTATTTTCATTTTTTAACTGAAGAATTTAGATGCAGAAACTAGTGTTCAGTGTCCTTTTCATTGTAGACAGCAAATAGATGCTTGTGGGCTAAGAAAAAGTTGACCCAGGAAAAGAGTTACATTGTACAGAACTGAGTATGATTTTAGATAAAAGTGATTATTAGCGTCAAAAAGATTTTTTATTGCTACGAACTCCAGACTTCACTTTCTCAGAGCCCTTAGTCTAAAATAGCTCCATTAAAAAAATCCTTTGGGAATTTCTCTGATAGCCAAATCGGATCACTTCTGATGAAGCTATCAGTAATCTAATGGACAGGTCACCCTGGTCATTCTAGCCAGTAATGACTTTTTCTCTCGTGAATGTCTATGACATCTGGTCTATGCTGCTCACACAATGCCAACTTCACACACAGAGACCACAGGACAATCCCTAAGGACTAAAGAAAAATAATCATTTTACAGCGTTAAGCACATGAAACTCGTATGTAATGGGCTAGGTTAGCTGTTCCTAAAACAACCAGAGACATGTCTGGAAACGTGTGACTCTTCACTGGATCACAGTGACTGGAGTGAACCCTCAGGGAGGCAGACCAGAGGATCCACCATAAGTAGGAAAGCTCAAGTCTTGAGCCGGTTGTACTATATTCTGTATGAAGCGTATTAAAACATTCATGTAACTTTTTTGATGTTAATTTAATAACAGCTATGTGAAATACTTAAAACCCAGTTGTTTTAAGAATGAATTCAAGCAATTCTCACCCTCACCCCCAGGAGATGGGTATTCTTGTTAACCACACGTTCATGATGAATAAACTGACACACACAAGTTCAGGAACTTCCAAGATTTCTAGTAAGTGATGGAGCGGTCTTTCCTGGGCCCTAGGGTCAGCACATGCAAACACCCCACCTATACTGCCTCATGTAAGATGGCCTACCCTTGTGACGATTATTTTTTATGTGTCAACTTGATTGGTCTACAGGGTACCCAGATATTTGGTCAATTATTATTCTGGGTGTTTCTGTGAGATGAACACATTAATTAGAATAAAGCAGACTGCCTGCCCTCATGTAGACAGGTCTCATCTAACCAGGTGACAGCTTGACTAGAACAAAAAAAGCTGACTCACCCTGAGTAAGAGGGCATTTCTCCTGCCTCGTGGCTTTTGGGCTGGGACACTGATCTTCTGACTTCGGACTTGGACTCCGACTAAAATTTACTCCATCAGCTCTCCTGGGTCTCCTGCTTGTTGACTATTGATGTGAGAACCCCTCCAAAATCGTGAGCCAATTCCTTATAATTAAACACACACACATACACATACACACACACACGCAAATACATACATATAGGTAGATAGTATGGGAGAACCCAGACTAACACAGATTTTTGTCCTGAGAATGGGAAAGTTACACACGACACACTCACCTGCTATAAAGTCCTGAGAACAGGGAAACATATCTAACCTGTCCACTTATAGCCAGCACCTGTTCTAACTCCTGTTGCAGTGTAGGCTTCCCACATCAAGCATGTGTTTACTGGAGAGAAGTGTCCAGAGAGCAAGAATTTGCCCTTGTTTTTTTCACCTAGCACTGGCGGGGGTGGGGGGGCTGGAAAGGAACCAGACCTTGGCGAAGAGGAAGGTTTCTTTCATTCATTTATCAGTCACTCATTGCGTATGCAGTAGGCAGTATGAAACAGCTTTTACGGTAGGTGAAAAAGAACACAGATAAAATACACAAATCCTGTCCTCACGGACCTCACGCTTCTTAAAAAGACAAGTAAAATCTATACGAATAAAGTCCTAATTAACAGGGTGACTTCTATATCTTAAATGGGTATGGACCTAAAACGGAGCTTCAAAGCCTATGAATCCAAAGCTGATAGAACCGAAAAGGGAAATAGATCCATAATCATAGTTTCAATATGCTGCGATTTCAATATGCCGATCAGTAATACTAACGAGTAGACAGAAAATCGGTAAGGGCGGCGGAGACCTGAACAATTCTTTCCACCAAGGAGGCATCGGACGTACTCAAACACTGAACCCAAACGAAGTGAAATACACATTCTTTTCAGGGGCGCCTGGAACACTCGTCAAGACAGACCGTATTCAGAGCCATGAGTTCGGATATACATTTAAAAGGACTGAAATCCACATTTGCATCCCTCCCGGCCACAAAGCTTCCACGCGGACGGGACGAGGTGGCGCTGAGGAGTGACAGGCGGCATCGGTTCACACTTATACAGGCGCCAGCAGCGACAGAGGGCGTGAGGGCGGCGGAGGGCTGCGGGATGGGGGGACCAGGGAGCAGGACTCGACCCCTGGCAGGGGCCGTGGTGGGCAGGAGCGGCCTATCAGCCAGGGGCCGTCCCCCTGCTCCTGGCTTCGGTAAGTGGGTGACGATTTGGCAAAAAACAACAGACAGGCGCCCGCCTCCCTCTCCATCCCGCAGCCAGAAGCGGCTTTTACGCTTCTTCCTCCCCAAGCCCCGCCCCGGCGCCTACCCGCCTCCTCCGCGCCGCCGCGCTCCCGGGCCGGAAGTAGACCTGACGCAGAGCCGTAAAGCACGTCCACTTCCGGGTCACGACAGCCGCCGCGACCGTCTCGCCGGCGCTCCGCGGGTAAGCGCTCCTGCCCGAGCCTCGCGGGATCAGCTTTTCCCTGGTTGCGGGCGTTTCCGTACTGTCGCCCCCTTCACCTTGGATCATGTTCAAGAAATTCGACGAGAAGGAAAACGTGTCCAACTGCATCCAGCTGAAAACGTCCGTTATTAAGGGCATTAAGAACCAGTTGACAGAGCAGTTTCCAGGCATCGAACCGTGGCTTAACCAAATCATGCCCAAGAAAGACCCCGTCAAAATAGTGCGGTGCCACGAGCACATAGAGATCCTCACGGTCAACGGGGAGCTGCTGTTTTTTAGACAAAGAGAAGGGCCTTTTTACCCGACGCTGAGGCTGCTCCACAAGTACCCGTTTATCCTGCCGCGCCAGCAGGTGGATAAAGGAGCCATCAAATTTGTCCTCAGTGGCGCGAACATCATGTGTCCAGGCCTGACGTCTCCCGGGGCCAAGCTGTACCCTGCCGCGGTGGATACGGTGGTGGCCATCATGGCGGAAGGAAAACAGCACGCCCTGTGTGTCGGAGTCATGAAGATGTCTGCGGAAGACATCGAGAAAGTCAACAAGGGGATCGGCATCGAAAATATCCATTATCTAAACGACGGACTGTGGCACATGAAGACGTATAAATGAGCCGCAGAAGGAGTGCGCCTGCGCCGATATGGACATTGTGCTGTGGCTGTGTTTGTGTCTGTGTGGCGGTATGAAGACGGTACCTCTGTGGTTACGTCGAATAAATTCAATGGATGCTAAAAAAAAAAAAAAAAGTAAAGATTTGGAATGACGCCATATGTCTGTGTATGTCATTGAATTCACGCTTGTGTGAGTGCGCTTGTGGATGCGTGTTTGCAGAGGGGTAATTAGTTGAGATCTGCTGTCTTGTCTGTCCAAACCGGTATCAGTTCAAACAGGTAAGTTATCTCTTGTGGAAAAATAGATTTCAAAGTCAGGAGCGTACAGTCGGTAGACAGACCTGCAGATGTGAGTGAAAAGTTGGGAGAAAGAAAATGACCAGAGGGGGACCCTGAACAACTAGTAATGTGAACGGTTATGGGATGAGCAGAAAATGGGGAGCTTAAATGATTGTACCAGAAACAGAAAATCCAGTGGAAAGTACACAGCCAGCATCACTGGTTGTCCACTCAACAATCAGCCCGCCCTCCTTGCTGGCAGAACTCTCTCCATGTGAACCAGGTAAATGCTGATTAGGCCCACGTGGCGCTGTGTTTCCCTGTGAGATGGACTCATTTATAGGTGGCATGGGGCCTAAGGCCAAGTAGGATCTTTATTTAGGAACCCCTAGGAAAACGGGTCTCTTTTCTCCCTTGGTTTTGAATCCTTGATTTATAGGCGGGTATGTGACCTGTGTTAGGAGGGGTCACTAAAAGATTTACGGAAAAGGTTTAGCTGGCTCTTACAGGCACATGGGAGAAACAGTTTCCGTGCTGCAGGCATTGGCACGTGATTTTCCTCTTGACACACACACACACACACACACACACACAAACACACACATGCACACACAGTGCCTTGGATGATTTAGGAATTGATGATTAATCAATCACGCACAGTCCCTGTATTGTGATATCTTATAAAGGATGTGGCTAAGTTATGCAAGATAACTTAGATTACTTTCTTTTTATTTGAGGTTTCTGAAATTTAAAGCCAAAGGTATCCCCATTTTTACAGAATGGCATAGACACCCAACCGAAAAATTGCTTAAAGGAGGATAAGATGGGTCAAATGAACGTTGATCAGTGACTCTTGCACAAGCAGTTTCAGCGTGATTTCAGGAATTCGGGATCGATCGCGTAGATTTAAGGGTGCAGTGAAGTCAGGTTGTGGGAGTTTGTGTTATTCCTTACAGAATTTTGATTGTGAAGTAGAAGATAATGGGCGAAAGCTCGAGGAAGGATATAGTCAAGATATTTTGGAGTTCAGGTTATTTTGCTGTTAATTTTATTGTTGTTGGATGTTTGTTGATGAGGTTTCCGAGTATTTTTATACGTGGAGGGGAAAGATTCTCTAAGAGAGGGAGTACTGATGGGAATGGCATTGGGGGGACAGGGAGGTAGGAAGGAATGGCTCCGAAACAGAGAGGTGGAAGGACTGGCCTTCCGTCCTCATGAATCTCCACGTTTGAATCATCTTTTACCTGTGACAACTCTTAAACACTTCTCATCAGAGCACTATCTTTTCCTCAGAGGATTAGGGCTTTTGTCCCTATTAATTCTTCACCCCAGTCAACACCATTGAGTCTGGCCACGTGGAGGACCTCTAAGCTTCTCGTGACAAGATTCCGGAGCGCCAAGGACTCTGACAAACACCGAGGGAGATAGTCAAGGTAAGCAGCCCTACGATTCTTTTACCGGATCCTCACCAGCTGTCCCCACCAAGAGGTGAAAGGAGGCCCTCGGGGTCTCTCCCAAGCCGCCTTTCAGGTCTCCCCACCTAGGCACACGCCTGACCTTGCTTCCCTTCCCGGTTCACCTGGACCCTTGCCGAAAGGTGATACAGCTGTGACTGCTGAGTCACAGGGTCTCCGACGCCGAATTCGGTGCTATCCACCGACTTACTGAGAGGAACAGGAAACCGAAAGTCAGTGCCAGGCCTGGCTGCTTTTGAGAAGCCTCACTCGCCCCTGCAGGCCCCTGAGGCCCCTCCCCCTCGACTCCTGCTCAGTCGCTTTAGAACAAAGCTGAAGGATCGCGGGATTCAGTGGGGTAGGGGTCGCAGCGACCAGCTACCGAATTTACTGGGATCGAGGTGGTTCCCAGGACCCTGGGCCTTCAGCGGGAAAATCAGGGAACTCTGAGTGCATGGGTGTGAGCAGCTTATTCTAGGAGGAGCTCAAACTTCTCCCGCTCTCTTGGGCGCAGGTGCCCACGTCACCATCCTGCTTTGTCCCGTGGGGAGAGCGGCTTGGGGTTTAGGGGTGGCGGAAAGTGCTGAGGGCAAAAGCATACTGCCCTGAGCCTAGGGTCTTTCTGGACACTTAGGCGCTTGCCCAGAGGGGGTGCCACTGGCCGGGGCCAAAGGAGAAAAATGCCCTGGGCTGCTCCAGCCATGCACGGGCTAGCTTCTCCTGCTACCCCTGAGTAGCAAGCAGGGGAGACAGCATGGCCTCCTGTGTCCGTCACAGGTTCTCACGCACACGTGTTAAACCCTGGTCTGTGTTACCAAGGCGATGGGGAGATAGACCTGAATTCAACCGATAGGGATTGAGAAAAACTCACAGAGAAAGAAGAAATGGTAATAAATCGCCGGCTCACTTAGGAAGAAACATATAATTAAAGTAATTAAATGTGCAGTTGAAATCCTTCAAAAACCCCAGACCTAGAAAGTTTTGCTGGTGAATTCTACCAAACATTTAAGGAAGCAATAATAAAATATTTACAGAATTTCTTCTACCATAGAGAGGTTTTGGGGATACTTCCTAACTCAATTTTTCAGGCTAACATTACCCCAAAATCCAAACCAAAGACAAGAAAATAAAACTACAGACCGATATCCTTCATGAACACAACACAAAAGTCCTTAAAAAACGTTAGCAAAGTGAGCCCAGCTATATGTAAAAATGGCAAAATGTGGGGTTTATTCTGGAAATGGAAGGCTGGTTCAATATTCAGAAATCAATCAATATAGTAAATCATATTAATAGATTAAAGAATGAAAAGCACGCCATTTCACTAGATGCAGAAGAAAACATTTCATATAATTCAATATTAATTCATTCAATAAAAGAAACTGTCCTCAAGCCAATAAAATAAACCTACAAAGTACCTACAGCTAACATATTTATTGGTGAAAGACTGAACACTTCCTAAAATCAGGATCAAGATAGGAATGTCCCCTAAGACCACTGCTGGCCATTCTAGGTAGTGCAATCATGGGAGAAAAAGGAAAAAAGGCAAATAGCTTGTAAATAAAAAATTAAACTGTCTTTATTCACAGACAACTCAATTGTTTAAGTAAAAAATCCAAAGGAACCTACCAGAAAGCTGCTAAAACAGATAAGTGAGATTAGCAAATAAATATTTTTAAACCAATTGCGTATCTGTAAGTGATTATTGAATAACTAGAAATTGAAAATATACCATTTTCGTTAGCACCAGAAAACTTCAAATAATTGTGTATCAGTCTAACAGAGCGCGTGCACGCGCCGTACGCCAAACCTCTGACACTTACGAAAGGAGACATCAGTAAACGTAGTGGCGGGCCCTGCTCGTGAACTGGGGGACTCCCTGAGGCGAGACTGTGAGTTCTCCCCAAATGAACGTATGCATTTTAAAATATAATTTGAGTCAAAATCACACAGCATTTGTTAATAAGAATTGGCAAACTATTTCTAAAATTTTAATGACGATTCAAAGGAACAGAAGAGCCCAAACCATTTAGAGAAAGGGAGAGCAAACTTGGTCTCTAGGCTCCCACCACCTGCCTTGAAGGCTCATTCTAGAGCTGCGGTAGAGACGTTAGCGTGATGTTGGCAAAAAGACAGAGACGAGAATCAGTGGGACCGAGAAGGTCCAGAAAGAGACCCGCTAAATAGTGTCGAGTGATTTTCTCCAAACTGCAAAGGTCATTCCACTGAGGAAGAATAGTCTTTTCAAAGAAGGGTGCTGTGGGGCATCTATATGTAAAAATAATGAACTTTGGCCCACATCTTGCAATGCAGACAAAAGTTATCTCAAAGTGGATTATGGACCTAATGTTATGTCAGATTTCTAGAAGTAAGCATAGGAGAAAAACTTTGTGACCTTGAATTCAGCAATGGTTTCTTTGGGATAACACCAACAGCACTACACTTAAATGAAAACATAAAATTAATTGAAATTAAGAACTTAAGAGATTTGAAAGACACTCTTAAGAAAACAAAAGGACAAGCTATGTACTGAAAGAAAATATTAGCAAAACACATACTGAATAAATAATTAGCATTCAGAATATACAACGAACTCTCAAATTTCAGTGGCAAAAAGACAGCAGCAATAAAAATACCGCCCAAAAGATTTGAACAGATATTTCTCCAAATAGGACATATAAATAGCAAATAAGCACAGGAAAAATGCACCACATCTTCAATCATTAGAGAAATTCAGATTAAACCACAATGAGATACCACCACGTACCTGCTAGAATAAACAACAACAAACAAGACCAGCCATGTAAGTTCTGAGCAAATGGAACTCACCCACTGCGGGCAAGATGCCCATGGCACAGCCCCTTCGGAAAAAAATCTTCACAGTGGCCGTCTTTGTAATCCTCACCCCCTGACCCCCCAAAACTGGAAACACATAAAGGGACACATTTACCCACTCTCTTATTTTACTAGAGATCTTTTGATGTAAATATATTACAAATAACGACCAATAAGGATTTTGCATATTACAGATGGAGGTTTTTCAAATTGTTGGTACTATTTTTTTTTTTTTTACCTCGATGAACTTTCTCATTCTTTTAAAAATTAAAGTCCACATTCATCCTAGCACCCAGTCCCTTCAGTTCATCCTCACATGACAAACTCCAGGAAAACTTTAAAATGTTTGTAAAGAGCATGACTGAAATTCTTGCATGCTCTTTCAGCAGAGTTAAATTGAGGATATAATTATTTCCTTTAAAAATTCAGTTGGCTCAACATATTTTCAAAAGAGGAAATTCCAAGGCTTTGAAAAGCACATCTGTGTCACGGAGAAAACATTTTCTAAGCAGGAAAAGTCTTTCTGACTATGCAAAATATCAAATTTTCAAGCACGTGTTTCAGGATAATCTCTATCCAAAGAATT